CACCCACACCCACACCCACACCCACACCCACACCCACATCCACCATCCACACCCACACCCGCACCCACATCCACCATCCACACCCACACCCACACCCACGCCCACACCCACATCCACCATCCACACCCACACCCACATCCACCATCCACACCCACACCCACACCCACACCCACCCACACCCCACACCCTACACCCACACTCAATCCACACCCCACAAGCTCACCCACACCCCACACCCCACACCCTACACCCACACTCAATCCACACCCCACAAGCTCACCCACACCCACACCCAACACCCGCACCCACACCCACACTCTTATTCTTGTACTGCTTATTCATACAAAGCAATCAATTATTTTTTACTTAAAAACAATTCCAATATGTATAACTATGGAAAGTTGTTTTTTAGCGGTCTTTCTTCTTATTTTTTGATTGGCCAATGACAACTTTATTTTGATTATTGTTAATAAACCATGTTTTAGCTTGCTTTATTTGTTGATCGGTATTTTGTAGGCCACTTTTACTGCTCGATTGTTCAACATTCGATGGATTCGCTATGTCTCGTTTCTTTTCCAGACTGATTAAAATGATAAAAGTATGTCGTAAGAGAATTTCATCATTGACCTCGAACGATTGAATGTCTTCTTCACTTATATCATTTGTCCAAAAATCAGTGCGCTCAAGATAGAGTTGTAAAGGAACATCTAAACTAACATTGACATTCGACAACACACGCACCATTATTCGTTTCAAAACAGCAATCCAACTATCAATACTTTGAAGACATGGTGCAATTCTTCCGTTCTTCATTGTCGTATGGACAAACTGATCGACAATGCGTTTGCAATCATCAATAGCGAAGGCTTGTTCGCGTAGATCTTCACGAATATAATTTCGTAGTACTTGATCGAATGCTATTTCTTCGACTAATTCATACCAATTGATAATATGTTTGAGAGCCATAGCTGAGAATGGTGGTCGTTGAAGGATATCGTCGTTGAGAAGAGTACTCGAACGAATGTTTTGTTCAACAAATGTTTGAATAGTTGTTAATGAATTGTCTTCTTTTTTATCGATATTTCGTAAATAAGTAAAGATATAATCTAGAGAACCAAGATAGTGAAGTATTTTATGGTGGTCCATGATGATAAGTAAATTTTTTAGTTTACTACGTTCATTATTGACCAATGGTTCTTGTGGAATTCGTGTACGGACATCAATAATTAAAGATGAATTCTCACCGTAGAGTTCGAATTGATAATTGAGAAAACGAAGTTTTTCCGTATCGATCAATGGTAGACGCCTGACCATATCACGAAGTGTGACTTCGATTTCATCATAATCATAAATGACATCAGTACATTTTCCATATTCATAATTAATTGTGAATCCATCCATGATCAATTTTTGATTAATAAGATCACTATCAAGTCGAAGTATTTGTTCCGATCGAATGGCTTGAACAGGCACAGCACAATATTGATACGATTGACTAATTGTATCGTCAACAATGGTTCGATGGAAGAACTCGACAATTTGATTTTGTAAATTGCCCAGAGTTCGTAAACAAGCAGCCAGCAAAAGACTACCATCATCTTTTGATGCATTGAGTAGAACCATCGCTATTTTGGTATTCGTGGCAAAATCATCTTGTGAAAGAGTTCGTTCAAATTTGGGCGTTTGACAACCGAATCGAAATTCTGTTAAAGTCAATTTATACCATGCATCAACAAAATCTTTATAGAGTTCAGCAAGATTGTCATAATCTAATCCACTAGTCAAATAGTGTGCGATTGTTTTCTCATAGGCATCATTACGTTTAATACGATGATTAAATTTTTCAATAAGATAATTTGTAAATTTAACAATTGGAAAGAGATATTGAATATTAGCATAATCATCTAGACGTTTTAGAAAAAATGTTGTCATTGGATAATTCTTTTCACTTAGAGGCATTGTTCGCATTTTGATACGAAATTCTTCAAGTGGATTGATTGCATGGATATTTGTTAAATTGAAAAAATTTAAATAAGGATAAACTTGTTCATTTTCATACATTTCATTAATAATATTGTCGATAGATGTTTCTTCATATTGTACATGTATAAATTCGTTATAGTTCAATTTATATTGATTGATTTCCTCGGCCATCGATTCGATATGAAAATAAATTAAATTTTCTTCAATAAATTTCTCAAATTGTACAACCTTCTTATTATTATCCATTGGGCCATTGAATATGAAGCGTTTATCCAACATCTGATTGATCAAAGATAAAAGCCATACATAACACTGGTTTGGAGTTGTCGATTCTTCACAAATTAATGAATAATCCTTATTGAAATGTTCTCGAAAATAGAGACGATTGAGTTGTTTGTCTTCGCGTAGAAGAGGAAGTTCAGATGCAAGTAACAAAACAGCATGTGTCATCATATGAATAAAACGAAATGAGATCGATTGATTAAGATGATATCCTTTTTCATATAGATTACTTTGTTTTGCTGGAGTAATATTATAATAACCAAAACGAGGTTTTTCATTGTATTTTTCAATATAATTATCGATAAATTGAAAGCCTTCTGCAATTGTCATTTGAATTTGTGGTGGATCGCGAACAAGAAGAATATTATGACGTTCACCACCGATTTCGTTCTTACATAGTGGACAAATACTACGAGCATGTGGTGCACCACAATCCATGAAAAAGAACAACCAATCACAATTAGTTGAACATTGATAAATAAATTTTCCTTTATCCTTTATTTCTTTTCTTGCTAAACGTTCGGTTACTTGTGTTTTTACATCGATCATTTGTGATATAATCGGATCATTGGGAATAAGACCTGGCAAACAAACAGATGTTTTCAAATATTCACCATAATCTTGTGGAAAATGAAGAGTCGTATCAAAAACGAGACTACCCAGAAAGGTAGATCCCTGCAGGGCTTTGCATGATAGAACCAATACTGCCATATTGAGTGCCACTAGACGACGATGGATATCGTCATCACTCATGCTGGATGTTAATCGAAAATAGGAATTTTTATCCTGTACAAAATTAGTTATCAAGGAGACGAACAAACAGTAACCAATGAAGCCAAAATGTTCAATTAGTTTTTCTCGAAAATCATATTCGGTGATCAATTCAACAAATTGTTTATTGGTTTCTTTGCTATTCTTTGAAAAACATGAATAATAATAATGAATAAACCAAATGTATAAACAATATGATGAACTTTGTTGTTTCGAACAATCGATAATCATTTGTCGGCAACACGCAACATTTCTATTATTCTTTAATGTATTATTGATATGAATAAATTTCTTGTAATACTCAAATTGTGGTATTGGTAGAATGAGAATACGTCGAAAATCTACCTCATCATGTTTTTCCGATTGTTGAATAATCGAACAAATCCAAGTGACCGTTCGATTATTGAATATGCCACGAAGTTCACGAAGTGTAACATTAAACAATTGACAGAGTTGTTTGATTAGAAATACTTTTATTGTCGAACAAAATGCTGATTCGTTTCGAGTCAAATATTGATCGAGAGTTGTCATTATTTCATAATGGTCATCATTTTTTAATGCAAATGCATACAATTGAATAAAATATTTAATCCAAGCCATTTGACTTACAAATAAAATCCCCTGATTTGATTGAGCATGTTCAATTTCTTCCATATTTTCTCGAAAGTAATCAAAACATGATTGGAGTATTTCTTGAATCTTTTCTTGGCTATCAACATTCAACATAAGATGAAGATGAATATGATTAACCATTAGATGTTGAATTTTTCTTTTTGAATCATTAAAATTTTGTAAATATTGATCAATTTCTTGATATTTATCATCAATTGTAATTTGTCCATGATACGTTTCGATTGTCGATCGTAGTTGAAGTTTTCGATCGATATGAGCAAAAATTTTTGCTGAATATTGCCATAAATCATTAGTCGATTGAATCAATTTAAGAATATCACAATATTGATCACCATTATCCGCAAGCCAATTTTTTAAAAATTCTATTTCAAGTTTAAGTAATGTTCGACGAATAAATATTCGACTTTGATCTGAATTATGACATCGAATAATTTGATCGAGATATTCAACAAAATCATGAATATTATTACATGTTAAAAATGTTCCATGAAATTTTTTTTCATGACAAATTTGATTGAATACAATCGATGCTTGATCTGATGGTAATAGAGTAGATATACAACGCATAAGACTGAGATAGCATCGCAGTTTTTCGAGATTATTAACTGAATAATGTTCAAGTGCAAAAACACCTTGAACTATTGAACTGTAGACATTCATTAATTGATCAATATTATTAATTCGATTGATAATCGTTGGTGAAACAAGTAATTCAATTAGATTCATCAGACTTATTTCAATAAATGGATCACCATCACATTCGAAAATCAATTTGTCCCAATCGTCGATTGATTGTCGGGGTGGAATATGATAAAAATTTTCTTCTCCTATAATGAGAAGATAGAAATCAGTTGGATTATGATTAAATGTTTCCATTGAATCATCTTCATTGTAGATATGAAATTGTTCTTCTACTTTGAAATAATCTTCACCAATAAGTTGAATGCCAGTCTCAAACATTTTTAATAATTCCATCAATTCAATATGATCAATAAGTAAATGTTTCATTCGATCTTTGATCGTTCGTCGTGGATTAAGTGTGAGCAATTGTTCGATAAATCGAATCGATAGTTGATAACTTTGAGCTTCATTTTGAATCAGTATCAATTGATCATGATAATAATGCATGAACACCTTGGGTGTTTTGAAGATGACTTTTTCAATATTCGGTCCATAAACACTGGTATCATATAATTGTTTTATAGCAAGACTAATCAGTTCATTATCGTTAGTCTGATTTTCATTATGACGTTGCTCGGACATTGTCTCACGAATTCGTCGAATAATTTCATATTCAGCTGTGGCACATGGAAAATGTAAATTGAAAACAAGTTGAATTTCGATCATATCCATATTCATGATACTTGTATCAATTATTTCAAAAGTTGATGTTAAACAATCGAACCAAATTTGACGAAATTGTTCTTTTAAATCGATATTTGCTTCATTTTGATAGAAAAAATATGAATCAATAAATGAGTACTTTTCTAGATGAACAAGCAGTAATAAGATGTCATTTTCATAGAAAAGTGAAAGGGTTGCCTGAAGAGCATCATCAACCGAACGAGATGAACCGATTATTGTTGCGTTCGAAAGTAAATCATAACGCCAATCGACAAATCGACGTTGATCATGATTACGAACTGTTACTAGATGTATGAGCGTTGAAAGACGATCTCGAATTGTTGAACGTAATAATTGTTGTTCTTTATTATGTTCATTGTTACTCTTTGTTAAATAATCCAAAATTCGATTTCGTCGACAATTTATTTCGAATTCTTGCTGATTTTGAATGACTGTATATCGACATTTCGTTAAAGATTTATCAATTAATTCATCAAATATTCGTTCGGATAATTGAAAATCTGGATGAATAATAAGTTCTCGATAGGAAGGATTCAAAAGAATTGTTTGAGAAATAAGTTTATGCTTATTAAGATCATCGATCATCACACTTAACCAACCATTGAAGAGAACTTCATTGGCTATTTGATTGAGCATATTTCGTTGAAGATGAAACACAAGCCAAACACTACGATTACTCGTTGGAATACGTTCATTCAAGACAATATGTTTAAGCCAAAGAATACAATTGTGTTCTTGATGATAATCAACACGAATAATTAACAATCGAACTTGACTTGTCGAACGATAATGGTCTTTAATTCTATTGGTTAATTCAAATTCTGTTTTGAAATTTCCTAATCTAATTTCTTGAACATAATTTTCATCATTATTCACAAAAGAATAATCAATATCATGATACCATTGAGTGTAGGTGTAAATCAAATGATAAGATATTGTCGATTCTTCTAAAGCTTGATTTACAAGATTGGAAAATGAAAGATCAGTGTGAATGTCATAGTATTGCTGAATTAGATGACGTATATTCTCATTTTGATCTGCTCTCAACGACAAGACAAGAGGAAAATCCAATGAGCTTGTATAAAGCAATTCCTTTTGGCAATGAGCGATAACGGCTCGATTATCTTCGTCTCTGTCATCATCGACAGAAAGATTGAGATAAGCAAAAGCATCAATAACCATATTGCAAATATAATCCTCATTATAATCGACAATAAGATGTTGTAGCAGTGGAAAATGTTTATGAAAATTCGTCGGTAATAGATCTACAAGAGTTTGTAATAGAGTCGAGGTAACGATTGAATGACGTTGATGAACAAGACTTTTCATATCAATAACATGTTTTTCAAAGCGATTAAGGAATGGTGGATCACATTTGTATAAATCTTGCTGTTTAATAAATACGACACAATAAAAATCATCATGAACTGTACAACGAGGACGATAAGTACCGAGTCCAATTTGACAAAATTTTTTTCGATTAGACACAGCAAAATTTTGATTGAACAAATCATATAAATTATCATAAAGATGACCCATTCGACGCATTAATAATGTGACTTTTGTTTCTGTATACAAGAAAACATCCATTAATGCTCGATGATTGTATTGTTCGGTATAGATTGTATTCGAATTTGAAATAAAATCTCCCGGTAAACAACTACCAATAATAGTACGAACAAGTTGTTGTTGTTCATACTGTTTGTTAATAATATATCGTTCAACATAATCGATTACACTTTCACTTTCACTGATTAACATAAGATAACGATTTGTACGTGACGATAGGCTATGATCGAGCAATTGTTTAAATGTTGGGGATCGATATTGGTCCATCAGAATTTGTCGATTTGTCAGTTTACAAAATTGACTCCAAATAAATTCTGATCCATCATGAGTTCCATCGAAATTAATTTGTAATTGTCGTCGAATACTTTCATATGGATTATCGTCGTCTGATGCTCGAACAGCATCCCATGCAACACCTTTGATCAATGCATAATAATCACGTAAACCAAAATAATTCATATATTGATAATCTGATTCTTTCTTCATGTATTTACATAGTTCAGAATAAGCACCACAGAGACCTTTAATAATCGAATCACTTAATTGAATCATTTTACCTTGGGATGAAATTATCGATGATGAAATTGCTTTAGCAGTCAATTGTAAATCGTCTACATCGGGTTCAGGACAAGATAAATAGAGAGTACGATTCATTTTCGACGCATCAAGACGCCAGTTAGATAGTCCAACAAAACCATATTGACATGTTTCCACTTCTAATTCACTATGTAATACTTTCAATGGATTATGTGGTGATAATTCAGCAAGGCCAATTTCGTCGAATACAATCACCGGTAATATAGGCGTATCACTTTTAACTCTCGTGTATTTGTCGGCTCTTTTGAATACTTCGATAATACTTTCAGATGTACAATTTTGTGCACCCTGATAAGAAACACGAACTAATTCAGGTAATGTTTGAAAAAATGGATGTTTCGATTTTTTGCCCTTGAGATTGCTAATAACAATTTGAACTGATAACGTTTTACTACAACCAGGTTTTCCACAAAGAATCACAGGAATGTGATTAACTATACAGGTAACCAGAACGAAAATGTTATCAGTCAATGCATGATTTCTTGCTGTACCTATTGGCAATTCCATTTTTTTAATCAATTGTTGTCGTTCATCTTGCAAAAGTACTGAAAGGTCTGGGAGATTCACTTTATAAGCTTTTAAACATCTATCCATTAGATCAATATATTCTTTCCGATGACTTGGTGAACTTAAACGAAAATAGTAGCAAAGTGACAGAGCAAGTAAACTAGCACGTTGAAATAAAGCCAATGGATTTTGTTCAATTGTTTTGTCACTTTCATATGAAGGCACTGATTGAAAAAACCAATTGTAGAGACGACAAAATCTTGCCACATCTCGTAATGATACACTACTTACATCTTCAAGACGTCGAAAGAAGTCTTGAGATTGTACTAAGAGTATAGTCATTTGTGTAAACCAATCCATATCAATAAAAAGTCCTTGACATGTATAGAGCATTGTTCTGATATATTCGGCTTCGATCGCATTATTCAAATAACCATAATCCCAAACAAATTCAAGCATCGTTTCAGGAATTGAAATAACATTATAGAGTAAACATGTACCGAAGCTATCAGTTAATCGTTGCATTTCGTAACGATCTTTCTTAATACCGATATCGTCATCGAATGAAGTCTTGCTATTTTTACATCGTTTTGGATTACATGCACCTAAGAAAACCATATTTTTGGGTAATGATTCACCCAGAAGTGTTCGTTCAGAAATGATTTCTTTGAGAAGGCCAATGCTTGTTGTTGTATTGAATTCATCGAAAAATATCCACAATCGTTTTGTTGTCTCTTCCGACAAATACTTTTTGGCTATATCAATGTAAATTTGCATCGCTTCGATAATCTTTTGATTAGTTACACCAGCGTTGACATGGAAAACCGCTAGTTCATCCTCCAGAATCTTTTGACATAGGAAACGAATCAAAGCTGTTTTTCCACATCCTAGAAAACAGATAGTTTTCATCAGAGGAGGTAACCATGCTGTCTAAACCGATCGAAAAACCGACGCTTAGCCGCAGTTTCGAAAGGAACCATCAGTTCAGGCGGTTTACGCTTTTTAAAGCAATTTTTACCAATTTTTTTATTGAAACAATGACGTCTACCTTTATAATATCGGTTTTCATCCGAAAAAAAAATCGATTTTAATGTACAATAATAAGTCATGTTAGATGATGCTGCAATTTATTCATTGGTCAAATTATCTCACTAATGACGATTTTTTCCATATATGTAAAACTTGAAACTTGAATTCAATTCAACTATCAAGTTTCAAGTTTCAACTTTCAACTTTCAACTTTCAACTTTCAATGAAAATATAAACATTTTGGAGATATTGATTCACTAGTGCAGATAATCTTTATATAGTGATTGACTTTGAATGCCGATCCATTCAGATATATATTCATTCAACTTATCAACCCTTGCTCGACAAAATTCAAAAAATAAATAACTGTTTACTATGTCTCCTACATGTCTGGAAAGGACTGGCTGCAAAAGGACTGATCGCGACGGGACTGATGGAGAAATGAGTGGCCACACTACGACATACATCACATCACAGCTGCTGTGGGTGCCGCGAAAGGACTGGCCACACTACGACATACATCACATCGCAGCTGCTATGGGTGCAGCGAAAGGACTGGCCACGCTACGACATACATCACATCGCAGCTGCTGTGGGTGCCGCGAAAGGACTGGCCACTTATTTCTCCATCAGTCCCGTCGCGATCAGTCCTTTTGCAGCCAGTCCTTTCCAGACATGTAGGAGACATAGTAAACAGTTATTTATTTTTTGAATTTTGTCGAGCAAGGGTTGATAAGTTGAATGAATATATATCTGAATGGATCGGCATTCAAAGTCAATCACTATATAAAGATTATCTGCACTAGTGAATCAATATCTCCAAAATGTTTATATTTTCATTGAAAGTTGAAAGTTGAAACTTGAAAATTGAAAACTCATTTGAAACTTGAAAACTCAATTGAATTCAAGTTTCAAGTTTGACACTACTGATTTTTTCCGGCGTCTTCTTTATGTAATAACTAAACCCAAAAACTAAGCCAAAACAGTTGATGTGGATCTGTCACCAGCGGCTTCAACGCGTTGATAAATAATAGGAAGCGTGATTTCAATAAAAATCTGACATTTTTCTAAGAGTTAAACAAAATTCACTTATTGAGATTTTTAAAAAATTCAAGCATAAGAGCCGCGGTTAACCGGCAATTTTTGACCGGCTTGAATGACATGAGTAATCATCTATTTCTGTGTTTATGCAAGAAAAAAAACTCAATACGTACTTAAGGAAATTCGTTAAACGAATATTTTTTGATAAATTCTAATTAAAATATTTTTTCTCTCGTAAAATTGATTTGACAAATTTTCAAATCAAAACAAATATTCTTTTCCTCTTTCCTACCTGTCTCGCCCATAATTAAGACGGAAAGACCACATTGTACTCGTAAATAGATTAAAAGCATTTTTATATAGTTATCTGGTGTTAAAACATATTCCGTTTGTAGTTGTTGTGCGATTTGCATTTGAAATCTCTCGATATCATCCGTATTTAATGAAGCAGGACGAATAAGACCGTCATCTATCAAACATTTTCCACATATTTTTTCGCTATATTCATATTGTTTATAACATCGAGAACAAATTGATTTATTAATATATTTATTGGATAATGATGTGAGTTTGACGAAAAATTGCGCGTGTGTAAACGTGTCATAATCTGGAAATTGTAATTTTTGTACCTTTGATAATTCGTGTTTCTGTTTTAATTTACTTTTTTTGATTCCCTGATATAGACAATAAGATTTAACTAATGATTCTGGTACATCGGAAGCTTTCTTATAGACAAACAAAGGATCATCCGTGGCAGTAAATATCATAGTGAACGGTTGAGTTTTGTCCCATCGAACAATAGCATCACTATATGTTAGAGTGGCATCGTTTGCAATGGCTGAACGTTGATTTTTGCGCACATTCTCAACTGATAATGACGTGAATTGATCGGATGAGTCAAGTAAACTTTGAAGAATATCCAAGCGTAATTTAGGCTTGGGTACATATTCAACCAGAAAATGACCACAACGTGAAAATCCCAAAAATAAACGATTATAAATAGCAAGAAAAATTGACAATTGTGTCCAAGTAATAAATTCTTTATTTTTATTTCGAAGAAAATGATCTTGTATAAGTCGAATACATGTCTCTCTATCGATAGGTGGTTTCATCTGTTCTTCACTGATATCTTTTTTAATGACTGTTTTATCCTTAATACATTGAAGATAATTGCCAATCAGTTGGATATTGTATGATTCCGAAACAGATAAATCATTCCAGTTGATTGTCTCCAAGTGCATACATCGAACATATTTGAGAATAGTCATACTATCTTGTACTTTACTGGAATGTAGAGATGCATCGAGTTCAATAAAAATAGGCACATCAGATGGAATAGAGCAAACCGCTTGACCAAAGCAAAAACTTCGGAAAAGAAGTAAAGAATATAAGAATTCATTCAATGGTCGAAAATTTTCGAATGTTCCAATATCAATATGAATACCTGTTTCTGATGAAATTAATTGTGAACCATGATTTCGAAGACGTTCTGCAAGTCGATCGATATCAATATCACCATTTATAGAAAACTTGATATATTGTTTCTTTATTCGTTCGATTTGATTGTGTATCCAAGTCGACTTTCCAAGTCCCGGAATTCGAGATTTAACCAATCTACAATTAATACCAATCATTTTTTGAATCATTTCTCGTTGAGTCATTTCATCAAGTAGGTCCTGATCATGAATGAAAGTTAGTATTTGAAGTATTTTTAATCCATTTATCAATTGCAATTGAGTACACGAAGATGTTGTTATGATACCCATGCATAATGAATTTTCTGAACATTCTTTAATTAAATGATAAATTAACCGAATTATTCGTTCCTGAATTTCCGATGATAATATTTCAGGACGAATCAATTGATGTAATGTTTGAGAATAAAAGCATCGATAGATAAATGCTCGAATATCTATCCAACTTGTCTTTTGTGTACAATAGAATAATTGATGTGATTTCGGTGATATATCGTTCATTTTAAAAAGAGAAAGAATAGCACGTAAAATTCCTGGTTCACTTGTTTCGATTACTAAGATTCTTTTTTGTATTCGATTTTGTTCTTGTTTTAACATCATTCGACGGTATTCGATTAATATCCGACCGATATTTCTCAAACGTTCTTGCGGATGTTCTGATTGTACTGGAAGAACATTTGATGAAATATTTTTAGGTTCAATACCAATAAATTGAAGTAAATGATGACCAATATGATTTCCAAGAGAAATTCGTTCTTGATTATATAAAAAAGATTCGACTATCCAAATTTGTTGACATGAAAAATAAGTTAAATCAACATATCGTTCATATTCACTACATAAATTTTGTTCCCATTGATTGAGTAATGTTTCAAGCATAGAATTAAAATTGATCAATTTTTGATAATTACCTTCAATACATGTCAGACCATCATAAGAAGTGATCAATGATGAAACTGATGGATAACTAGCCAGTGTTAATGATGTTAAATTTTTCAATGTCATTTCAATTGTATCGATAAAATGAACAAATAATTGAAGATAATATATTTCACGTTCATGATCATGATCATTTTTTGGCTTTTTATTACTAGAATGTTCGATAAGACTTGCTCGATCACGAAGTTCACTTAGATCTTTATAGGTAATCGATTGAGAAAATATTTCAACATCGACTCGATAATGCATATGATTTAATGTATCCATTGGTCGATCTGAACTACTAAAACGAATCAATGATTTTTGCATAATATTCAACATTATTTTTCGTTTTGAGAGTTGTTTATCGGTTAATTCTAAATGAATATGCTTGAGACTTGCTAATGATTCTGCACAGGATTCGAAACAGACAAGAATCTTTTGAACTTCATCTTCTTGACATATTGTCTCGAAACATTGTATAACATCATCAACATCGATTGTTTTTTCATTGTTTAATGATTCGATCATAGTATAAATTCGATCAAGGAAAGTTTTGAGTAGAGCAAAGTCCAAAACAGTTTTGGTATTGATCAGTGTTTCATCCCAATCATTGACTGCTTCTAATAGATTGTCAATATCAGTAGATTGAATTGAATTCAAAAATTGAATCAGTTCTGTTGATGAACTGTAGTGACTGATCAGCTTCAGTATTTCTGTTGAATATCGTTTTGAATAATTTGTACTAAAATCACGATAGGTCATCAAACAAACTTCACATTTGGTTTTTTTGTTAATGTGGAGCATTTGAGTTAATATATTTGGGAAATTTCTTAGTGATATATTCAAATCATTGAATAAATTAATTAAACCTTGACAAATATGCTTGATATTTTTGCGTGCTTCCCAATAATTCAACAAATCCATTAGAATCGGAATAAATAATAAATCAAGCAATGATTCAAATGTTTTGACATCACGATTCGAATCAGGAAATAGTAGACGTAACTCACCGATAGGCAATGTTTTCCATTCTGAACACACACGTTTTAATTGATCACAATATTCATCGAGTATTTCTACTGCATGTGTTAATATAGAAGAACAATCCTTTTGGAAAGATTCATTGGAATCCGTCGAGTTTGTGTTTGCTAGTATATAAATGCTTTCATCATATTTTGATATATTTCTTGATGGTTCACTAATCAAATCGGCGTCTATCGATTGAAATGACTTAAGATAATTCGCTGGCAACGTCTTACTTTTGCTATTTTTTCTTGAATTTTTGTTTTCTAATTATTAAAAATAGATTTTATTATTTTTCAATTTTATTTAATATTTGATAAACTCACGTGTCGATGATTCTTGAGATTCGGATAGAACGATTAGCCAAGAGCGTGATGTTGAAAGTGGAGTTAGACGATCAACGGAAGGTAAAAGTGTCATTATCTCACATGGTACTTCCACTAATCGCACAGTATCATGGTCAAATTTTTGTTGCATCGCTAGAAGAAGATCCAAATAAAATTGTTTATCCACAGCATCATCACAATACGTATCTAAACATGTAAGAATCTTTGTTTGAATGAGACGTTTCTCTTGCATTTCTTGATATTGTTCATTGATTAATGTTTCAATTGGAAAATCTCTTTGTACTGTTTGACCAACTAAATTCCAGATATCACGAGAGAGTTGTTTTATTTCAGGTGCAAGATTGATCCATCTATTTATTTGATCAGAATATAAACCATGTTCATCCCATTGATCCCATAAAATAACTAAGTGTTCGACAGTCATTTGACGAATAGGTAAAGTCTGAAAACAGTCTTGAAAAAGAATAATATAGGTCAATGTCGATCGCATTGAATTAGCAAACATGTCTGCTAGAATTTCTTGTCTATCAAGATTTATTTTCTCACATGTCAGCTGTATTAAATCAAGTACAAGTTGACTTTCACCTTTCGTTTCATTATCAATATGGACTAATTGACGTAATAGATCACAATATCCGATCGTTGGCTTCGATTCAGTGGATTGATAATTTAAATATTTGGTCACAAATGTATTTTTGAACTTGTCAATAAATAATTGGTTTTTAATAAATACCAGAGCATTTGCGTTTATATGAAAAACTGTGTCTAAAACAAAACGAAAGAAATAGTTGGGTAAGGATTAGACATGCAATACGAGACATTGTAAGTTTTATTCGATGCCATTAAGGTCAAAAGAAGGGGAGCGCATAAGAACCATTTTTGAGCCCTGATCGTTAGAGTCCCTCCATTTATGGCTTACCTGATGGCGAATTTTGCGGGAAACCTTTTGCTTACAAAATAAAACCATTTCTGAAGGATTCAGACTCATTTTTACTAAAAACATTGATATTGACTTTTATATGATTCATACGAATCACTGCACGAGAGTCATCCCGGATCGTGCTCAATCGGGAATTTTAGATTTGAATGGAACCTATCTCGTTTTATAGAGCAAATCGTTTTAGGTATATAGCCAAAATTTTAGATCTAACGGATGAGCTTTGACTGAGATATGATGAACCCAATAATAGAGCAGAAATTAGATTTTTAATCCATTCGAGACATTTATTGTTAATCATTGATTTGAGATATTTTCATGATATATCTTCATCAGTACGTGATAGGCTTCTGAAATTTTTATGAGACATAAATTTTTAGATGTACAATAGAACCATGATACTCAATAATATCTATGTCATGCCAAGTGTAGCTAGAACTTCTACGATAGATCTACTGTCCCAGAGGCTTGTAGGGAGGCGATAAAATGTGCTAGAGGTTGCCATTAGACTAGAGATGGAATCGATGGAGAGTTTTGGCGACTAGTACAAGTGCCTGTGTGAATAGGCCAGGTCGGACCAAACTGAACCAGCCGATCTGCTGGTCTGACTGGTCTGTCGATAGTAACGGTCCACTGGCAGGCTAGTCGGTCTGAAATTTGCACTGATACCGATTCTATCTTAGGATAATGTTATTCGAGATGGTCAACTTTCACCAAAATTTCATTATGTATTAACTACCAGATAACACTAAGACCACAAAGAATTTTTGAATAAGATTTTATAATAAAAGTAGGAAAGGACATAAGATATACTTATCGGTTGCCGATTTACCGGTGACCGATTGCTCTACAATTCTGATCGGTACCAGATCGGCCGCCTACCGGTACCGGTTGCATCTCTACATTATATAATACATCTTGGATCTGCTCTATTGAACAAAAGAAAAGCACAGGTATTTTATGCGTTTCAAACCAGTAGAATGGTCATGGTGTTGTGATATCATGACAAAATATAGATCTTTCAAAAATATAGAATTTATAGGAATTATAGGACAAATCTGACCCCAGTTATCGTTTGATTAGTGTGTTGATTATTCTTTCCTTTGTAGAATTAAATCTATTTAAGCTCTTCTCCCTCAAAAACCGATCCCAGCTCAGATACGTTCAAATGGCATTAAATTTTCAAGGCATGTTAGGCTTGTGATATAGAAGCTTTGGTAAAATGTTCAGCCCTGTACCATGATTTTTTAGGACGATATTGGCTAACAAAGAGTCAAAATCAGCTCATTTGGCAAACCAAATTTCTCTGTTCAGGCTCATTCTATATATTTAATTTTCTTTTCGTTTAAAAGAACCTGTCGGGATACAATACAGTACAGAGCCCTTTTCTTTTAATTCTTACTTTTTAAGGGAGAAAAGGAATCACAAATGCAATGACTAAAAAACTCTAAAAATGAGCGCCAATATATAATTGTTTATATATTTACTAAAAACAAAGCTTAATTTAAAAAAGGACTCTGCAGTACACTGTATCTTGACATGCGCGATCAAAAAACCATAAATAGAGAAAAAGCGAAAAACATTTTCTGTTTTATCTAAAAATAGAAAATTTTTCAATGGAAATCATCAAAATGATGGGAAAAGTACTTGCCGAACAAAAAGTCTAATCAGATAGTTAATTCCGTAAATAACAAAAAAAGTTAAACATACTTTCTTGAAAACATAGGTTGACCATATGATGAATGAACCACGACTGATGATCGTTGCGACTGGACGTGTTCGAAAAGCTAATAATTAGTTCATCGATATTCATCATAATCGATGTTAACATGTCACGATCATGCGCAAAACATGAAGTCCAACTATCGAGTAACCTTTGATATTGTTCTTGTTCACGATCCATCGACATTAAACCGTGTTCTTGTTGATCAGGTATTAGAAAGCATCGGAACCATTGTATGTAAAATGCCAATGAACAGGTGGTGTGATGTTTAAGTAAATGAATTAAAAGATCGGTCTTGTTTATATCGTGTAAGAGAGGTGCATTGATGCCCGAATGAAGAATATCACGAAGACCATTCAAATGTCCAAGATCAACAGAAAGTCCATACAAGCTCTTTTTTATTTTTGCTCGTAGAGTCAGATTTGATTGAATTACAGTGTGGAGAGCTTCGTTGGCTAAATCACTAGAATTTTTGTCTGATGGTTCAAGTTTTAAGAAATCAAGTAGAAACAGGATACTTTCGATGTTCACTAAATTATACCGAAACAAACATCATAGTGTAAGTTTTAATCCTAAATCGCAATCGATTATATATAGTGGCGGAAAAAATTTTAGAGCACCTTTTATTTTATGAAT